AACAGGAAACACTCTAAAATGCAAATATCGCTAACTTGGCAGAACCTAATTGTATGTGCATAACTACCTAAAATATTCCTAATAATTACTGTCTGTTCCATAAGATTTGGCTCAAAAACCCCTCCTTCAAGTAATCCTTTCTGAATTTTCCTGGGCTTGTATGATCTTCCGTGTTTGTGATTCTGTGGCATGCTGTTTGTAAGTGACTCCATGATCAAAGCTTTCCTGTTCTGATTGTGTGGATTTACTTCTTGCCCACTGTCCCCATACCCTCCACCCCCACGTTGTGTGTTTCCTCCAGAAAGGGACTGCTTCTGCTGAGCACGCAGAAGGTATTTGGTGAAAGTCTCTCTATCAATCAATGGATTCTCATGTCTCATAGTTTTTTTTTTTTTTTTTTTTTTTTTTAGTTTTATGTGTATTTAACAATTTCACTTAAAAAGGCATTTACCAGAAACTGAAAGTAGGGTGGGATGAGGCTGGATTCAGGAAGGACTGGCATCACATGGCTTCCCTAAGTTGTATTTTACATTGTTGGGACACCTGACCGAGCTGTGGATTAGTGAGTCTTAAGGATGGCTCTTTTCATTTGAATATAATTCTGAAGCTCTGCACCATTCTTCCCTCTGTGTTGCTGTAAATCTACCATAAACAAGATAGATTCTGCATATTTGGAAGTGACAGAAATCAAGGTGAATGCCTAAGTGAATCTTTACATAATTTATTATTTTTTTTTTTTTGAGATGGGAGTCTTGCTCTGTTGCCCAGGCTGGAGTTCAGTAGTGCAATCTCGGCTTCACTGCAACCTCCTCCTCCTGGGTTCAAGCGATTCTCATGCCTCAGCCTCCCCAGGAGCTGAATTTACAGGTGGGCACCACCATGCCTGGCTAATTTTAGAGATGAGGTTTTACCATGTTGGCCAGGCTGGTCTCGAACTCCTGACCTCAAGTGATCCCCCCCATCTCGGACTCCCAAAGTGCTGAGATTACAGGTGTGAGCCACCATTCCCAACCTGAATTTTTAAGTTCTTAAAATCACTTTTGATCACAAAAGAAGATATTCTGTAGCTTAATAACTTCAAGTTACTGTAATAGAGTCAAGTCTCTGGTATTGAGACATTTTATTTAAAACTTAAAGTAGAATCTTACCACGTGGAATAATCTGAATTCTGTATAGTCATTGTTGAAAATCATTTTGCCCCTTTTTAACAGCATTCAGGCAGACTTTTTTCCCCTTTGAAAATAGAGCTTGGTCTTCCTGTGTTGTTGGAAAGCATGTAATTTTCATTTTTTTTTTTTCACCTAGTGGTACTTAATGCTACCATGTGAAGTTTTATAGTCCCAGCTGCACTGGAGTGTGTGCCCTGAAACTTCAGTTGGATTAAGAAAAGTAGCTTGGTGTGAGGGCTGAAATTGGTGAAACGGGAGAACACAGGGTTGCATCTATATATATGGCAATTAATATTGACGAGTGGGCAGACGTCCAACATTATCCTAGGGGGTTGGCTAATGTTCTTTGTACACCAATACAAGCAAGTCCTTCCCCTCCAGGTGTGAACAGTTTAATTTAGTAGGTCGATTAGGAAAAGCAAGGGGGTATTTTCTTGTATTCCAGTTTACATTACACACTCAACATTAACCAGCTGTTTAAGGTACAGCTCGTTGCTGAGTAGTTGTGGTACAGGTATCCCGAGATGTTGCTAACCCATCTTGGTATCTCCAGAGCCTGGCATCTAATGTAGTAGGTACTCAGTAGCATTTGTAATATGAATAGAAGGATGAATGAATGGTTTTTGTGGCAAGGTCTATTAAAAATCCTGGTCCCCAGCCATGTGTGGTGATTCATGCCTGTAATCCCAGCACTTTGGGAGGCCACGGTGGGCAGATCACGAGGTCAGGAGATCAAGACTGCCCTGGCCAACATGGTGAAACCCTGTCTCTACTAAAAATACAAAAATTAGCTGGGCATGGTGGCATGTGCCTGTAATCCTAGCGACTCAGGAGGCTGAGGCAGGAGTATTGCTTGAACCAGGGGGTCCGAGGTTGCGGTGAGCCGAGATGGCGCCACTGCACTCCAGCCTGGTGACAGAGTGAGACTCTGTCTCAAAAACAAAAAATCTTGGTCCCTGCTTACCTCTGTAGGCTTCTCCTTCTAGACATAATATGCTATTTGTAGCTTGCTAAATACTCCGCATTCTTTCCAGTCTTTGGACTTTTGTACATTTCATCCGTTCTGACTCTCACACCGCCTTCCCTATCCCCTATCCCCTTTGCCTGGTTAATTCCTGCCTGTTCTTTATGACTTAGCACCTTCTAGAAGATGTTTCAGGAGACATCCCCGTGGGTATTTGGTTGAAGGCCTGGTTTATTTTTCAGACCTCTGTGAACCTTTGGGTAACAACAGAAAGCTACTGATTAGTGGCACTGTTGAAAACTGCATATCTAAAGCTTCTTTTCAGGAGAATGTGAATCGTTTCAGGTGCCTGCGTCATTTGCGTGTACATCTTCCAAACTCTATTGGTACTTTCCATTTAGAAATGTGCAGAACATGATGCTACAGTACTGAAACAGAAGTAAAATTCACAACAGATTCTCTTCCATTTATAGCGTCAGTATCAGGGTAAAATGGAAAGATGAAGGAAAACTATTGATGAAGTACCTTTGGTATAGCTGATACTAAAGTGGGTAAACAGGCAAAAAGAAGTTGGGAAATTGAACTACTCCCTTTCTTTTCTTTCTTTTTTTTTTTCAAAATTAGAGACAAGGTCTCACTCTGTCACTTAGGCTGGAGTGCAATGGCATAATCCTCGCTCACCGCAGCCTCAAATTTCTGGGATTAAGGGATCCTCCTGCCCCAGCCTCATGAGTAACAAGTGCATGCCACATGCCTGGCTAATTTTTCTTTCTTTCTTTCTTTTTTTTTTTTTTTTTCCCCGTGAGTATGGGTCTCATTATGTTGACGAGGCTGGTCTCAAACTCCTGGCCTCAAGCAAGTCTTCCTACCCCAGGCCCCCAGAAGGCTGGGATTACAGACCTTAGCCACCGTACCCAGCCTGAACCATTTCCTTTCCAATTTAACTTAGGAAAGTTTGGTGCATAGTAGGAGCTCAGCTAACATTTGCTGAGGATGAAAATGATAAATGAACCAGTTTTGTTTGCTTCTTCTTTCTTTTGCTTTACAATAATATATTTTTAAAAATTCCAAGTCTTTTCTCCTACACTTCTTTTGGCCCTCACAGCTCTAGGCCCAGACTATACTTAGTGCTTTTGCTAAGACTGACTCATCTTGTTTCTGATTGCTTTAGTGATACAAGATTCTTGTATCCATGGGAATGGTGTGAGAGTGTATGGCTTTCATGTTTGGAAAAATGTAAACCAGAAGAGCTAGTTATTGGTACCAGTACCAACTAATTCCTGAGAGCTATAGGGCAGTTTTACCCTTAAATTACTAAGCGAATGTGGAAAACAGCGTGATCTAATGGAAAATGAATTAGCCTTTGTGTCAGATGGGTGTGATTAAAATTTTCTCTGTACTGCTGATGGGCTGTGTGACTTTGGGCGGATTGCTTAACTTCTCTGAGTTCCCCTATCTCGAGTTTTTACATTTGTCAAATGGAGTGAGGGGACAATATTAACTTGCAGGATGGGTTGATGTCATTCTCATGGGGCCAGGCTTTGCTCCACTCACCTCCGTGTTCTCTGCAAAGTCCCTTTTGGTCACTGTGACCCATGGCCTCCCCATTGTGAGTTGAGTACATTGGACCAAAGGATTATAGTTTGTTTTCTTCCCAGACAAGTGCTTCCTCCCAACTGGGAGTTAGTATGATACAGGTGGCCTCAGTAAGACTGGGCTGGCTTTACTGTTCTAAGAAGTGTTAGCAGAAAAATGGCTGGGCATTGGAGTGACCCTTTGATTTGACATTTTGGGGCATCCTTTCATGGTACAATATACCTGGCCAAAAGTCTTCCAGCTCAGAAATTCTGTAGGTAGAAATTCTTTGAATAAATGTATACTGAGAAGGGATTTTGGGGGGAAATTTAAAATTCTTATCTGACTTGGCTATAGCAACTGCTTGGCTATAGCAACACCAGATTTCTTAGCGGTATTGATAATGGTTGTCTTTGAATGGGGAATGGATTTCTCAGCTTCCTGGGAACAACAACAAAATTCCCCCAACAAACCCCAGGGTGTCTGAAGCGCCTGCTTTCTTCTCAGAGAGCCCGATCGAATACTTTTCTGTGGGCTCAAGAGCTATCAACAGTATTGAACAGTTAGACTAGAAGGATGGGTTGTGAACAGTTGCTCCCTCAAGGCTTGGAAATTAGCAAAGGCCATATTAGTAAGAATGGTGAGGGAGGCGGGGGTGAAGAGATTGAGGGCTGGCAGGAATACTTCAGAAGTGGAGAAGGCGATTGGAGGGGTTTGTTTCCCAGATAGTTTTCAAAGAAAACGGATTTGTGTAGTATGCCGTGGAACTGAGGATGCAGTGCAAGACCAGTTGATGTTCTTTTTTTAATTGACCAACTAATTTTTCTGTCATGTTTCTTTTAGGCTAATGAAGCATCATCTTCTTGCCTTTATCATGGTCATTGATAGCAAGCGCTTAAGGGATTCTTGCCTCCCTGGGATCAGGATAGGCTGGAAAGAAGGACACACATTAAGAAGAAATTGACCTTTTGCAATTAAAAAAATTTTTTTTTTATTTAAGGCAGCCTCACTCTGTTGCCCAGGCTGAAGTGCAGTGGCATGATCTCAGCTCACTGCAACTTCTACCTCCCAGGTTCAAGCAATTCTCGTTCCTCAGCCTCCCAAGTAGCTGGGACTACAGGCTTGCACCACCATGCCCAGCTGATGCAGATGTTTTTGGATTTTGTCATAGGTAAAGAAGAACGATCCAATGTGCAAGGAAGGCTCAGATTTACATATTAGTCTGGGGGTGATTGATTTCTTTCTTTCAAGGGGCTGATGAAGATTAGAGTCTTAGAAAGGGAGAAGCAGCCAGGGAAAAGGAGAAAAGAAGGAATGAGATTTATGACCCGCTGGATCCCAGCTTTTATGTCACAAAACCATTCCCAATACTGGAAGTTCGTGACACCCTGAGAAACAGCCCTGGAACTCAGAGCAGTGATCTGCATGCAAAGGCAAAATTAAATAGTCCAGCAACTGCTTTGACCGAGAGACGCACATAGTACTATTCTGGGTCCTGAGTGCTGCTTCCGTTTCATTTCTCCCCTAGGCGCAGATTCCAGTGGCTCACAGAGTGATGAGCTAGACCACCCAGGACCACTTATGTTATACTGAGGGTGGATGATGATAGTGCTTATAAAGGAATTATTTCAACAATGGGACTTTTCCATTACTCTTTCTGCTATCACCCTCTACACTGAGAATGTGGAAACCTTGGCACCTCTCGCCAAAGAATACTAAACTCATGGGTGTTGCTCAGAGAGTCCTGTCCTGGTTCCAGAACACTGTGATAATAACTGAAGATCTTTAAAAATGTATGTGTCTTCCATTTTTATTCCATAAGGCCCCCTTAGGTAACATGACCCAATGGGGCCATTAAATGACCCTGCCTACACTTGGATTACTCGGTACAAAGCAAATTTATGGTTGTTTATTCTCTCCTCCTATCAGCATTAGTGCCTAATCATATGGTCTATCGATCATGAGATTAATCGCCTGCCCAAAGAGGCAGCAGGTCTTGTGGAATGCTGCACTGCACCAGACTGAACTTCAACCTTTTATACAAACTGGAGGAGTCAAAATCATCATTCATTGTCTGAAGCCCCTGCACCCTGGGCCTCCTGGACCCCAGGAGGTAAATCCCTGCTTTTTCAAATAGTGTACTTTGCACTTCCTTTCCTTGTGTAAAACTTTACCTCATTGATTCAGGCAGGCATTTGTAAATAAAATCCTTTCCAAGGCATCCTATAAATAATGATCTAAGCTGAAAATATGTGGGCTTTATTATACAAAGCCCCATAGTGCTGCTGTAATTAAAGGTCTGTCAGTATTTCTATTATAAATTCTCATTTTAGAAGATTTATCACTGGGCTATTAAAGTTTTCTCTAAGACTTTCCAAGAGAACCATGATCTAAGGTCTTTTTTTCTTTCTGTGTAATGTGTTGCTTTGAAGATATAAAAAATAAAGTCCAGAAACATTATCACATAGGAGTACACACATGCAAAGACTGGACACTTTAAAACTGGGGCACTTCGTCCACTAAAGTGGCTTCTGTTTGCCTCCTGTGTTCTCATTGCAGTTTATGAGAACAGAGAATCATTGTAGGGCTAATACTGTATTATAATATTTGTTTCCTGGTCTGTGTCTTTTACTCTAAGGAGAAAGAGGGCAGGGACTTAAATCATTTGTCTTTCTGGTCCTGCTTTCACCAGAGGGCCTTGGCAATGTAAGCACTGGGTTTGTTCAGTAAATGAGCCCCAGGGTGAGAGTCAGGAAATTTTCTTCCTAGTCTTCACACAGTCATTAAAGGTGGGGAGTGAATTCAGGCAGTGAATTTAGGCAAGTCCCTTTACTTTCATGAAAGCAAGTTTTCTGATCAATGCAGCGAGTGTGTTGAGTTCAGGGCTAGTAATCTGTTTTTGGTGGGTTGAATGCTGCAGGCACAGTGTTTTCAAACACTTGGATTGGAATGGCTTTAGATGAAATCAGTGCCTTCTAGTTTGCCATAATCCCTATTGTTCCCTATTATATTATGTTGTATCAGCAGCCTGCTTCTATCATTTGCCCACAGGGTCTGTAGGCATTTATGATTCCTTGTAGTTATTTATCACGTGATCTTTTGTTGTTATAGTAAGGGTCCAAATCTGAGATTCAGGTTAGCTGTTGATGCCTTTAACTGTAATTTTAATTCTCTGACTTTCAATCCTTTTATCATCAAGAACCTCAACTATTACTTTTTGTTCCATATTTGAAAACTTTTGTCTTCCAGACCCACACTGCATTGGTTAAGAACTAATTTTCCCACTTTAAAAACAGACACATGTAACCGAACACACAAATGATTCGTCAACAGTATAAAAGTTTTTGTGCAGTGAGTTGGTCAGTGTTTCAGCTAGCTTATTCAGTTGTTTCATGGGTACGTGTAACATGAAACACTTTTTTTTTTAGGTTTTGATTTATGAAAAATAGTTCCCAGGTCTTCCTGCCTTACTAGACATGTGATAGACCAAAGATTCTAGGTGAGGACTTAGTTGATTCTTTCATGAGTTGCTGGACTGCCCTTGTCCTTAGAGCATCAAGTCAATTGTTTATCCACATGCAGTTCATGTGTTTTAAATTGTCTCCTTATTGGTCAGCTTAGAGAAGTCTCTACAGAACCTGGCTTTTACATTCAGTGAGCTGAAGAGAGCTTCCTATATGAGTTTACCCAAAGGCTTTGTTACATTTTCTCCCTTTAGTCAAGAGCATTTTGGAATTTGTTAAAAGGATTGGGAGGCAGCTTGAAAACTTGACTCTCCAGTTAAGAACAATCATTTTTTACAGTTTAATTCAGGCTGTAATTGTAAATTGACAATTTAAAAACATACATTTTATTATATTTATTTGTTTATGTATTATTATTATTATATTAGATAGAGTCTCACACTGTCTCCCAGGCTGGAGTGTAGTGGTGCAGTCTCAGCTCACTGCAAACTCCCTATCCCAGGTTCAAGTGATTCTCCTACCTCAACCTCCTGAGTAGCTGGGATTACTGGCATGGACCACCACGCCCAGCTTTTTTTTGTATTTTTAGTAGAGACAGGGTTTCATCATGTTGGCCAGGCTGATCTCGAACTCCTGACTTCAGGTCATCTTCCTACCTTGCCCTCCAAAAGTGCTGGGATTACAGTCATGAGGCACCATGCCTAGCCTTACTTTATTTTTAAGACAGGATCTTACTTTGTCACCCAGGCTGGAGTAGAGTGACGCGATCTCAGTTCACTGAAGCCTTTGCCTTCTGGACTCAAGTGGTTCTCTCACCTCAGCCACCTGAGTAGCTGGGATTACAGGCACATGTCACCATGCCTGGCTAATTTTTTTGTATTTCTAATAGAGATGGGGTCTCATCGTGTTGCCCAGTCTGGTATTGGACTCCTGGGCTCAAGCCATCCACCCGACTCACCCCCCTCCCCAAGTGTTGGAACTACAGGCATGAACCACTACATCCAGCCAAACATAATTTTAAATAGAGCAGGTGAAAGATCTATATTGTAGAAGTAATCTGTATATAAACCAGTCTTAAGTTGAGACCTGACCTATGACTGTTAAAGCAGTCCCCATCTCACAGAAATACAGGGGCTGGAAGAGAGCAACTGGGTTTAACCAGGTTAGATATAATTTAACAAGAAGAGACAGTGTCTACATTATTGCTAAAAGCTTAGGCTCTGGGGCTCCTAATTTGGGGTTAATTCTGTCACCTTGGAGTGGTTACTTAAATCTCCCTAAGCCTTGATTTCTTCATTTGTAAAATGGGAATACTAATAGCTTATTGTGTGGAGTAAGTTAGAGTAATTCATACAAAAGATTTATCATGTTGGTTACAGAAGAAACATGAATATTCATGATCATTTTTATCGAGGATATAATTGAAATATATTTCTAAGCTTTGAGATTTTTCTCTTAAAGAAGAGTATACTTTCTTAAGACTGCCCATACGTGCTGGACCACCCACATACATTTCCAAAAAATTGTATGTTCTAGCAATTGTATATTTCAAATGTGCTGCTTGCGTTTTTGGGGGAAACAAATGATGTCTGACTTTAAGAATCTAGAGTTTAAGTTTTTCTTTTACATTTTCTTTTCTCTCTAGATCAATCTCAATTAAAGTTTCATTGCAAAAGTTTCACAGACCCATATTGGCGTTAATTATTATTGGTGTGCTGGTGAAAGTCCTAATGTGAGTTCATTATGAATTAAAACCCTTGGCCGGGTGCGGTGGCTCACTCCTGTAATCCAAGCACTTTGGGAGGCCGGGGTGGGTGGATCGCCTAAGGTCAGGAGTTCGAGACCAGCCTGACCAATATGATGAAACCCTGTCTCTACTAAAAATACAAAAATTAGCTGGGCGTCATGGTGTGCACTTGTAGTCCCAGCTACTCGGGAGGTGAGACAGGAGAATTGCTTGAACCTGGGAGGCAGAGGTTGCAGTGAGCCGAGATCACACCACTGCACTCCAGCCTGGGTGACAGAGTAATACTCTGTCTAAAAAAAAAATGAAAAAGAATTAAAACCCTTGAGAAAACATTAAACCCTCCTGGACTTATATAGCTGGAAGGGACTTAAGAGATTATCTCCTCTAAGCCCCATTTTACAGATAAGGAAAGTGTATTTTCCAAAGTAAAATAAGTTTTGAACAGTCAGTATCCTCCATAATGGCTTTTTAATTTGTACTCTCACTGGAGTCAGCCCTCATTTGCCATGTTATGATTATGTTCTTATTGTGAGACTTGCATGTATTTATTAGAGGCCATTGAGACATAGCATTGGGCATTACTTTTGTGGCAAAGGCACCAGGGCAGTAATCGTTATTAATGGATTTCATTATTTGGGAGAGCATTTTACTGACTATAGAGAATTCATTGCATTGATCTATTGTGCCACATTTTTATTATACCAGGTAGTTTAAAATGATATTCTCTAAACTGTTAGGCTGAAAAATTGTACAATCTTGGCAGTTATCCCATAAGTAAGACCTTCCTTTTACTACTGAAAATACATAGTTCTGTTGAAAGAGACCTTTTGACTGGTCCCCAGTGCCCTGAATGTGTTTAAATCCCTCAGTACTGAAATAGGAGGATTACTACTGCTATCATTGTTCTAAAACAAACTTCCTTTTGGAAGATAACAGCAGCGGTAAATCAGATGTTGAAGAAAGTTCCAGCTTAACTTCACTTTGCTTTAAAAGGGTTTCCTCTTTAATTGACAAGTGTCATGTATAATAGGGCATGGCAACTCACATAGTAAACCTTGTGCTGGGCTGCCTGCTGGGGCTGGAGTTCTTAATGAACATACAAGTGAATACGCTGAGGCAAAAAATTAAAGCTCTCCAACTGTGGGGTATTCATGCTGTTCACTCTGGCCAGTGTGGTGATCAGCGCCGGCCACACCAGTGGCCGAAGAGACCTGCAATGGTCATGTGGCTGTTCTGTAGCTCTGAGCTATGATGACTATTATTTTTCCTGGTGATAGTTTTGAATGACAGCATAGATTCTGGTATCATATCCAAGGAATAAACACATGCTTTTTTTTTGGCTTTTGTTTTTTTGTTTTTGGCATAGAAATAATAAGCTATTTCTGACACATGTAGCCTTTTCACAAAGTGATCGTTTTCTTGCTAATATTCATAAGTTCCTTCACTTTGTAGCTGCCTCTTTCCTTCCCTCCACTCCCCCGAAAAGAGAACAGAACTGATTTTTTAGAGGTGATGTTTACAACAGTTCAACACACTCGAACGAGCACTTAGAATAATGTCAATAGAGGAAGAAAAAAAAGGACATATTATTATCAAATTAAGTAATGGATGGGCAGTGATATTTTATTTATTAAAGCTTGTCTGAATACCACTGGAAACAGAGTATGTTGGTTCTGAAGTGCACAGATTAGAAAGGAATGCTGAGTTTGGAAACGTGGCAGCCTGCAGCACTGTGTATGGTTTAAATTAAACCTTTTTTTGGAAAGCAGAATAGCTGTAGGCCACATTTAAGGGAAAAGCTACAGCAGAGTGAGCTGGCTGTGGTTTTTCTTTTACTCTGTAACCGGCCCACTTTCCCTTGTTTTAACACAGAAAAAAGACTTTGGACTCCTTCAGACCAACCACATAGCTTCTCTGCTGACCACAAAAAGGAAGCTTGGCGTAGAAGCCATAGGATTAATACCCACTGTCTCTTAACCCAACAGAGTGTGAAAACTTTCATAAGAGATTTCTCTGGGCAGACTGACACTGTGGTTGGACTTTAAACATTTTAAATCAAGCACAACTTTGAATTGCATTATGCCACAGCGCCCTGTAAATTGTTATGTGTGATCCCACTGTTAAAAGTTATTTACATGAATCCCCAGGTTTCAGAGGGATAAGCCACTAACAGCTTTGTGTATCTTATAAAGAAATACAAAGAGAATTAAAGGTATGCCTATGATAAATTATCTTAGAGAGAGTAGGTAGATCGTAGTCAATCAGATTTTATTGTTCTTAAGCAAATGGAGGCAATAGGCTCTTGGCAGAAAAGCCTTTTATCTTTGCAAATAATAAGATTAAGAGTATGGATTCTGTTAATCACTTGATCAGCTTTATTAATCAATCACATGATTTTTAAATTAGGAAGAAACCCCCTTTTTTTACTAGATGAACATCTTTCTTAAAGAATAATTTTGCATTGCAGAAGGCTTTATTTAATATACTGATCTATTCAGGTATTATAAATGGTTGTTTCTCTGTCATACACATTAATTTTAATAACTGGAGTCATGCCACCCTGATTTGCCAATTGTGCATTTGTGCATAGCAACTCTGAAATGACCAAACATAACCACCAAAAACCCCTTTTGTGTTTTTATTTATATTTACTCATTCAGATGCCTAGGATTAATACGTTTTACAAGAAATCATTTGAATTTACATCTTACCATGTTGAATTAATCAGCTTTTCATAAGTGCACTATCTCAGCATTCTGGTTTCTATTTAACAGAAAATCTCAGTGGAAGAGATTGATTTGAAAAGTTGAAGGAAAAATTGCGCATACATGTTTCAAAACTGTGGTCTTACAGTAACCACAGAGTTAATTCTTGGTTGACTCTATGTCGCGAGAGGGGTTTATTTGCTGTCATTAGAGAAATTGGTCTCTGTAACACTTCCTGTATGTGAAGAAATGCAGTTGTCATCTTGCCTAGACCATTAAAGCAGTATTTAAATACTTCCAGTTGTGAGTAGCCATGCATTTACTTTGGTTATTTTCCCAGGTGTCTTAGGAGCAGCTGTTTTGTGCTTTCCTGAACTTAATAGTTGAAGAATGTGGGAAAGAAATGGTGTACTTTCTGGGCAAATTATTTTAGCCACCCTGGAGTAGTTGCATTGCATCTTGATCTTTTTTCATCTTGGTAGAATTATACTGTAACTAATTGAATACATTGATCACTGTCTTGTTTTTTTCCATCTTCTTCTCCGAGGATTCATTTCATAGGGTTCTATGCATCAGTCAAGAAAATAGCTACAGAGGAATTACCAAGACTGGTAATAAAGGTAATTTAACCTAGTTTAATATTTTTTTAAAAGCAAAACACAATAAGCGTTTTTTACCTGGTGAGAGTTACCTTCTTAATTAGTCCATGTTGGAAAACAAATCAAAAAGACACTTAGCAGTAGTTTTCAGAGAGTGAGAGAAAAAAGAGGGAAGAGAAAGCATTGATCTTGGAATTAGATGACCTGGTTTCTAGGCCTATCTACCCCAATGCTTTTCAAACTTTAATGTGCATAACGAATCAACTGGGGATCTTGTTAAACTGCAGAGTCTGAATCAGTATGATTGCCGTGGGCCTGAGATGCTGCATTTCCGACAAGCTCGCTAGACATCCATGCTGTATAACCTCAGACCACACCCTGAATAGCAAGGGTCTGCTCTACCACTTAGCTAACTTTGTGGCTTTGATGACTCTGCATCTCAGTTTTCTAATCTCTAAAATTGGGATATTAATCTTTGTCCTGCCTACCTTATCGGGTTGTTATGAGAATAAAATTAGATAATGTAGGTGTAATTTTTTTCTTTTTTCTTTTTTTTTTTTTTTGAGGTGGAGTCTTGCTCTATTGCCCAGGCTGGAGTGCAGTGGCTCGATCTCAGCCCAGTGGAACCTCCACTTCCCAGGCTCAAGCAATTCTCCAGTCTCAGCCTCCCGAGTAACTGGGATTACAGGTATCCGCCACCATGGCTAGCTAACTTACATTTTTAGTGCAGACGGGGTTTCACCATGTTGGCCAGACTGGTCTTGAACTACTGACCTCAGATGATCCGCCCGCCTTGGCCTCCCAAAGTGCTGGGATTACAGGCATGAGCCACTGCACGCCCAGCCTGTAGATGTAATTTTTAAGTGTCAAATAAGCATAAGGCAGCAAGGATCTTTGTTTATAGATAAAGACATTCTTTGGATACCTTTCATCAAATCAGTGTGGGCTGTTTTTTGATAGGAGGGGCCTGGAACTGTGAGGCAGGAGAAAGGAATCCCTGCTTCCCTAGTACCCATTCTGTGCCTTTAGCCAAATCATCTCCCCTGGTCCTCTGTTGTGTCATCTTTAAAATAAGAGCTTGACCTAGGTTAGTGCTTCTTAAAGGGTAGTTGCAAAGCTAGCAGTATCAGCATCACTTGGAAACTTGCTAGAAATGCAGATTAGATTCCCAGTCCCGTCCGAGACCTGGTGAATCAGAAATTCTGGGGGTGGGGTCCAGCAATCCGATTTCTAATAGGCCCTTCAGGTGATTCTGATGCAGCTAAATTTTGAGAAACTTTCTGAAGCGTTATCCAACTTTGAAATGAGATATTTAAGCCTTCTCTATAAAGCTTCAGCCAACAGAATGCCTATTGGATGATCTGTAGGCACTCTTCCATCTCCCAGGTAGAGGAAGATAGGGGAACTGAACCTTCTGTAGTTAAAACCTCACCTCTCTGGAACTTGGAATAGATTATAATTGCATTGACTTACACTGGTCTAGCTTACCCAGTTTTGGGACTGCCTCAGTGGCCCACAAAAGCTGACTATTGCAGATGACTGTATACACTGAGAAAGTTCTCTTCCATTTCAGTCTCCTCCTTACTGTCTTCCTGTTCCCCAAAGGGTTGTCATTGTGATATAGAACTTTCAAAAGTTGGTCACAGTCTAGATTATTTGCATTGTTGTGAGATGAGGGGAACTGAGAAAGTAAAATACATGGTTTTCTTTTTTGTTGTTGTTTGTTTGTTTTTGAGAGAGTCTCCCTCTGTTGCCCAGGCTAGAGTGCAATGGCGCAATCTTGGCTCACTGCAACCTCTGCCTCCCGGGTTCAAGCGATTCTCCTGCCTCAGCCTCCTGAGTAGCAGGGATTACTAGTGCCTGCGACTACGCCCAGCTAATTTTTGTATTTTTAGTAGAGATGGGGTTTCACCATATTGGCCAGGCTGATCTTGAACTCCTGCCCTCAAGTGATTTGCCCACTTTCACCTCCCAGAGTGCTGAGATTATAGTTGTGCGCCACCTGTAGAAAAAGTACTTGTTTTTCTTAAAGTCATTTACAGTTAGATTTCCTGTATGTGCAGTTTTGTTTTGTTTTTTGTTTGTTTGTTTGTACATTTGGAAATACATCTAAAAACTTATCAAGTTCAAGCGCTAGAGAGCACTATCTTTATGTGCAGAGAAGACCTCCTCAATGAGGTCTAACAACTTCTGTTCTAGACACAAGTCGGATTTTTCATTCCTGAGCAGCAATAAGGTCGTAGTGGACAGCTGCTTCAGTCTGGAAACTAGAAACAAATAAGAGGTTTTAGCTGGCAGCTGAGCAGTGAAGAAAGACACGGAGACACTGTCAAAGAGGTTGAGATGTATGGTAGCTTGAGATCCTCTCTTTCTCGCTAGACATGTGCTATATGCAGTGTGTGTGCATGTACGCACACACACACATACACACGCATTGCAGGTAGTCTCTGACTTTCAATGGTTTGACTTTATGATGAGTTTATCAGGATGTAACCCTGTCATAAGTTGAGGAGCACCTGTCTATGTGTGTATGTCTATATGTATACATTTATATACACACACACACACACACACACAGACACACACACACAGACACACACCCCTATATATCCTGTACACTTAAATTTCTAAGTAGTTGTTTGGGTGTTCACTGTATTGGAACACTTTACAGTAAGTAACTGTGTTCTTAATGATATCTTTTAAAAAAGATTAAATCATGTTTCTGCATATAATAATAGTAACAAATTATGGAAGATTTTGCTCTAAAATGAGTAGAAAACAAGTAGTTATTAAAGTGGTGAATGTAAGCAATTTTGTAAATTCATAAAGTCATAGACATCTGTAGTTACGAAGGACCTCATAATTTTCTGTAATAGTTTCAAATATTATTTAAGTAGGAATGTTTTCTTCAGAACCAAATCTGTAGAGAAGCTATATGTACATGTATGTATTTTTTTAAGTTGGACAGTATAGGGGTACTAGATCCATGTTATTAATAACTTTGACTCTCCTATTCTTTCTCCCAGAAGAAGCCCCAGTTGGAATCAAGCCCCTAGAGTGAGGAGTCACCTGGGAAGCTTGTTATATGCAGATCCTGATTCTGGGTGTCTGTGGAGGCACCTGAGACTCTGCATTTTGAATAAACTCCTGCCCTGTTAAACATGCACTGGCCACATTTTGAGAAGCAAGGCCCTGGGGGAATCTGTGCAGATAGTTCAAAACCTTTGATCGGCTAACTTCTTCATTTTTCAAATGTGAAAAGACAGAGTTATAAATGATCTGCCAAAAGCCACATGCCTACCTGGGGTCTTGAGTCCTGGGAAGGCTCTTTCTTCTACTCAAGGCCTGGGTGGGATGGCTGGGTCCTTACCCTTTGGGCTGAACGAGGCATCCCAGTACCAGAGTTCCACGGGCACTGTCCGTGTCGCCGCTTTCTATCATGATAGATTATGTTGGGAACTTATTCCTTTTATCCCAATGTCCACCCCATGGAAAACAGTACTCTGAATCAGACCCCATGGAGGATGGAACATTCTGGTTAGCCAGCAAGGGCGGTTAGGCCGGTAGCTGTGGTGTCTGCTGCCACAGCAGAATGGATAAGCAATTCTCAGCACCACCCCCCCAGCATAATCCATAAAACTCTTTCAACCTTTTTTTTTTTTTGCATGATGTCTAGTGTTTGCAAATGGAAAATAGCTGAGGAAAAACAGAGTGAAAGTTTATATAAAATATTTATACCTTAAAGATCTTTTATCTTGTGTCATTCAAGAGATAGAGAAGTGAAAAATGTATTGGGAGCACATTATCAAGAGTACATTATAAATTTAAATCTCAGATTGAATAATACCAGCTGCTAATGTGTGGAGCTTTGGAAATGAGTCACTTTTGAATCTTGAGAACTTACTGTACCAGGTCAGTTACACTTAAGAAGGAAGTGCCTTTTGAAAAAAGAAAAATCCTATACCGGAATCAAGACTTACACTAATGGGCACTAAAAATCAAATATTTGACATAATATTCATGTTAAATGTAGCTACATAGGAATAAGATGTAGGATCCTGAGATACTTTATGGAATGTTTCTTAAAAATAATCGAATAATTTTGGACTTTTCTCTGTGGAGCACCATAACCTATGGTTAAGAGTTATGTGTCTTAGAATTAGATTTGAATTCTCTGTCCATTGCTTGTTAGCTATGCCATTTTAAATCAGTTCTTTTCTTTGAGACTCACTTTATTTTAAAGCAAAGGTAATATACCTACCTAATTGTTTTTTTCTAAAGGATTAAGCATCGTAGTATTTGTAAAGCATGTAGCACTTTGCCTAGAACTTTATGGTCCCAATAAATAATAGCTATTTGTTTTCATTATTGTCACCGTCATACTGTTTTTAGACCTAACTAGTATTGCATAGTTCTTTGGTGACCTGGTGGCATGTTATGGAAGCAAAATTGGTGCGCCTGTTGAAAAAGTTAGTAGTCAGGAAAAAAAACATACTTTTGTAAGTGAGACTATGACCATTAGGCTGGACATCTGCATTCTAACTAGCAAAACAGAAAATATTCTGTTGGTTTTAATTTTTTTTTTTTTTTTTTTTTTTAAATGGATGGTATCTATTTTTGTATGCTGGAGTCTTAAAATGCTTGGACCATTTAGAGAGGTAACTAAAGGAAGAAAGTAGGCCAGGGACATAGCAAGAGCCCATGGTGCACTGAAAGGCCGTGAGTCCCAGTGTGAGGTCTCTTGGCGCTAGCCAGTTGGTGCTATGTGGGCCCAGTGTTGTCAGTTCTTTTAATCTTTTCCTAAGAATCTGGAAGTGCATATTTTTACATGAATCATAGGATGCTTTAAATAATTGCAGCTGTATCTTGAGAATGCCGTTGGCTGCAAGAAACAGAAATCTTAGTTTAACAGTGGTTTAAACAAAGATTTATTTTTCTTACAAAGCAGTGAGTCCAGCAGTAATAGGTAGTGTAATTTTATTTGCTCACTAATACCAACAAGAATTCAGACACTTTCCATTTTTCTGTCCTGACATGCTTCATTTGTTGACTTTAAAAAAAGTGTTTGTCATTTATGGTTGCCATATGTGTGTTGAAGGTAGGATAACGGAGGGCATATAGACTAGCCTTACTTGTTCCATTCATGGGGAAAGCGAAAACTTTTCCAGAAACTACACAGGAGACATCCCCTTATAATTTACTTGCCAAAACTGGGTCATTCTGGCTGCAAGGAAGTTTGGGGAAATGTCCCAGGCTTTCTAGTCT